TACTTTTAATCCACTCAGAATTCAGCAAAATGGTACTTCGGTGCATTTCAGTGAACCACCTGAGTGAGGACCCCAGGAGTGATACCTCACTTCTAAAATGGCTTCTTTACATAATAATAAAGCACTACACTTTGTTGACAGAGCTTCTGATCTCCTCAGTGGTGGCAGATGCCACAGAATGACAGCATGCTCAAAAAAATCTGGTATTAAGAACATCATTTTCTGGTTTTAGTTTCTGTACTTGATTTTAGGTGTTACACAGTACAGCTGTGGAATAAGTTGTGGTAACTTCACGTAACCATATAAAATGAGGTTGAGAGGAGAACCTGAAAAGCCATCTTGTGCATCCCTCCACTGCAGGGTAGGATTGGTGTCCCCTAAGCCACAGCTGTTTTAGCCATCCGGCTCCTGTGAACCTCCAGTAATGGAGATTTCACAGCCTCCCCCAGCAATTTATTCCTGTCCTTAACTGTCTTACTGGTTAGATGATTTTGGCTAACACTTAAAGTAAATTTCCCTTGTTGCAATTTAAGGCCATTACCCCTTGTTCTGTCCCAGGTGGACAGGGAGAATGATCTATGATGCAAATTTTCGCAATTATTTCTTTAATATATTTTAACATTGCTTTTATGCCCCTTTTGGCCTTCCCTTCTTTAAAGTCACAAGTCAAAGAAAACTAATGAACACAGGTTTAATTAGTTCCACGTAGGAATTTCAAAGCTATATCCTAAAAATAAAATACTTGGAAAGAACATCAGTAAACCATATTACTCAGGAGAATAGAAGGAGTAATTGCATGTCAGCGTGGTTGCTTAATAGAGAAACAGGAACTCTGCAAAAGGTCAAATGAACATTACCACTGAGCAAAAAGGCAGGGGCTTTCTCTGTATCTCCTCTAAAAAACTGAAAAAAATGTTCTTCAAGATTGATGGAAAGAATAAAGATACATATAATTTAATAGACCCATGTAACTCTTCCTGAACTAAAATGGAGCTTTGACTGCTTAAAGAATGCAGGAAGGATGTTTTTGTATTTAAGGACTAGATCAAAACTCAAGAGACAACTTTAATCCTTGGCTTTTCTTGAAACTTCCTTGTGATTTTGGGAAACTACCTATTGATAAAATGAGCAGTAGCTCCACTCATTTTCTCTTGAACTCCTCTTATTCTGTTTTAGTAGATAACAAACCCATTAGGATGGTGGGCTGTCTGTACTGAAGCACAGGGGACTCCAGCATAAGAGGAGCCAAAGTCACCTGAAACTTCTGACCATGACTGTATTACAAAATGCAACACCAGACTACTAAACAAGGCATTGTCATGCACTAGATATATCCCATCACAAGAGATGTTAAACGTAACTTCAAATTGACTGTGTCTGTTGGAGATGTTGGATCCTGCTTATCTTCATGGGATGCATGGGTTGGCTTATAATTCACCAGTAAATGCAATGAATCTTCAACCCAAAATTCCAGAGCCTTAGAGTAAAAATCTAGTTATTTTTGTTTCCTGATGGTTATTTTAGCATGGGATATATGGAGAAGCAAAATACTAGTGCTGACCTATGAAAACCTTTAAATGAATGTTGAGATTATGTGCAGTCACAGGTTAACGCTTTTCTCCAGATGTCTCTATGAAGCAGGGAAGTACATAAAATAAGGAAACATAATTTTTTTACAGACAACAACAAAGACCTGGAAAATATCTACATACTGTTCCTAAGCTAGCTCAGATATCCCTGGAAAGCTATGGAGGCATAGCTAAAGGAGATGCTTAAAGTCAAAAAAAAAAAAAAATCTATATGCCACAACATGGATCTCAAATTATTTCATGCACAAATCCAGAAGACTGTTTTTGTGACTGCAAAGCTGCTACTGTCCAAATTACAGCAGCATGTCCCCTGCTAGAAAATAACCATATATGGATTTACTAGTAGTGGCTGGATGTCTTGACAGGCTACGATTTAAAAGTAACATTTATGCTATTAGCACTGCTTCCTTTTATTTGGAGGAGAAACTGGATTATCGCATTCAAAGTTATAAGCTTTCCTCCTGTTTTTCTGTTGCATTATCCTCATTTTCTACATTTGACATCGAAGACAAATTATTCCTGATTTTCCTACATATAAGTAGGACAAGATTCATGTCCAGCCTTGTTAGTCTTTGTATATGGATATCCACCTCTTACTGTCAGCTAATCAGTTGTACTAAGAATTTGGTTGCACCTATTTCTTTCTGTGTTCTTGTTTATAGCTCTTTGGAGATTTTGCCTGTTACTGCTACTCATTCATACTCTTCCCCTCAAAAACCACTGGTCAAAACTCTTGGATTTTATCTGTAAGAAACAAAATAAACATCTAAGTAGTAGAAACCCTGGCAACTTTTTGCTTCCTATGCATGTATCCAACCTCAGTCCAACCTCAGCTGTGCACCTCCCTGTTTGAGCTACAGTTCCGTTTACTTTGGTTGCCTTCCGGAGAAAGAATCTGATCCTGAAAAATGCTCCTGGATCCCTCAGAGAGAAAACAAGAGCATTCAGATCCCTGTGGAAGTTAGTGAGGACACACAGCCATTCTGCAGATCAAATCTGTGTTAATAACGATGCATCTGCTACACATGCACATGTAGCATGGTTACTTAAAATACTGCAGATGGTGACTCTGATTCACTTAGCAGCTCACCTTGCTATTCCTACTGACAGAAAGTAGCGTCTTACGCTTAGAGCCCTTAGCATCCCCTTAGTCTCGCAGGGCATCTCTTATGTAGCCAGGTGAATTCCACTGAATAACTAAGCCACTGTAAACTTAAAGCTACACCCTACCCACAGGGTAGGGGGAAGTTTAAGACGCCTGAATCACAGGAAGAAATTTGGTCTCCAAATAAAATAAAGCAAGGTTTTCCCCAAAGTGCTTAACTAAAGGGTATCCATGCCACACTTCTATTTTTCATCATTTTTCACCTTTAATTTAATACAAGTACTCAAGCAATTTTAGCTGTGTTTTCCTCTCAACTTCTCCCACTTCAGGCCACACATACAAAGATCATTCTGCGACTTGACACCCCTCCTTTCTTAAAATCTTACATTAAGGACTTAAAAAAAAGATGGTATTTTAAACAGCCTCAAAACTAGAGGTTTTTTTTTTGTCCATCAGGGTACTTATTTATTAATTTCAATTCATGCCTTTTTTACACTGAAAATTACAGCTTCTACCGATTCCTGTAAATGTCTAGGTTTTGAAAATGTCTTTTTCTTTTTTTTTTTTTTTCAGAAATGTGCTTTGAGGTCACTAAAAATATTTAATTTTGTTTGCATTTTCTTTGTGTGAAATTCAAGGCAGTAATATGCATATTTATGCTCACCCCTATCTTTACTGATGTATGTTCTGTCATTTTTAATCTATATCTAGTCATGTATTTATTGCTGATAAATTGGTAGCCAAGACACATTAGTCACCTCTTCACACACCAGGTATATCAACACTGGTTGACATTGAAAGAAGGTCCCTCATCTGACCTTGCCAATGCCTGCCAACCTTCACCAGTGAGCATTCTTCTGGATGCAAAAATGCACAAGCACTCTCTAGCAGACTGGCCTTTGAGTGATAGGTGAAGTTTGCCAATCTACTTGTCCCAGTTCTAGACAAGGCTTGTGAAACGTCCTCGGTTTCACAGCATCCAGGTTTCATGCCACTAAATTCTTCTGATGCGAAGCTGTATTTGATGTATTGCTGCACTTATCTCCAAATACTCTGAATTAGTAATTTAAAAGGGCTTTTTCTTTCATAATTATATTCTTATTTATTAAAACAAGATTTCTGTTTTGGGGACTAATTCTGCCACAAATATTTCATATTTTCATGCAACACATGATCACACTGCAGCCACTACTGATATCACTTCTCTGTAGCACCACAAGAGCAGTAGGGTTAGATTCCCTAAACATCGAAGGGTCAGGTCAGTGGCATGCCAGCTGCTTTTTCGTATTTGGTGACCTCTGGTTGCTGAGCCAGTTGTATATATAAGGCCCACAACTCTTGGGTTCTACCTGCTAGCTACTTGAAAACTGAACTACTGCAAAGATACTCTCAAAGCAAACTTTACTTTGGTTTGGCATAAGGTACAAGGCAATTCAGCAATTGGCTCTCTCTGCAAGTTCTCCTTTCCTTGCTATTTCCTTCCAAGAATGTTAAAAAATATGTTCTCCACTTTTAAATTGTTGTTCACTCACCAAGGCGAACAGCCCTCATACTAAATGGATTTCCAGTGAACACAGCTCACAAAGCGTTAGTAAATTAAAAATTACCAAAACGGCAGCAGTCTCTCTGAAGGAATATATCACAACAGATGGAATATTACAGAAGACGAACTTTCTTCTGTCACTAATTCTATCTTAAATCTTTACATTGTGTTGCTATCCAGAGGTGGAAACTGAAACAAACCTAAACAGTTTTTTTCTGACTAAATCTTTACCACCTAAATAATAATTAACTTGTTTCAAGATTCACAGTAGTACCATATTTTACCATAAAGGTGGAATTTTCATACACTTAGAAAAAGATTAGAATTCTGTTTTTTCCACAGTGCAGTTAACACACTGTCCCAGAATAATGTTTCATGACAGTAGAGCATGCATGGACTTTAAAAAGGTGAGCTATTTTCCACTGTGTATGCACCAAATGTATATGAATTACAATAGACGGGCCAAATGCTTTCTCAGGAGACACATGTATTGACATCTTTGGACAGTAGCAGCAGACTTTGAATTTTCACTTCAACTACTGCTTAGAAATGACACTGTCAGAAAGGAAACACCTACTGTGCGCCTTCACTTGCCTTCTGATCCCTTATTAGTTAACCCTGAAGTGCATATGTATACAGCCTTAATCCCCGAGTGAGTATCTGGACCAGGGGAAAGCTGGAATTAATTGCAAAGTATTTTGGTTACTAATGCAGCTGTTACAAGTGTTTGATTTGGCAGGTGAACAGAAAAGGCACTGCATACCAATTTCGTGAGCCACTGTAAAAGCTGCATGGAGGCCGTCATCTTCAATCACTGCACAGCTGCGCTCAGGAGAGCATATGGTCCCAACGTCTGCCATTCCCAGAGTATCACATGAATGATGTCCACATAAATCCTGCCCAGGAAGGAAAAAACAAAAAAAAAATCATTAAAATAAATGTTTACATCCACAGGTAACAACAGGCTAAAGTCACCAACCCTTTGCAAACAGCAGAAACTGGATAAAAACATCAATAAAAGCTTCCACCTAATACAGTTTAAAAGTATGATACAATGATCCAATCCCACCCCTGGTAAAGTCAGTGGCAATGTTTCCATTGAATTTAACAGCATTTGGATACCTTCTGTAACTAATTCTTGTTAGTTAAACTTGTATTTCTGCAATGTATAGAAGAAGCCCAGACTTGCAGGGAGGTGCTCTGAATACACACCACAGAACCATTTCTTCATTGACAATAAAAATAGAATATTCTCTTTATTTACAGAAAGTAAACCAAGGCACAGAGAGAAAGCTTCAGATTCCTCACCAGTCCTTGAATCAGAGATCGCCCTTCTTTTCCAAAAGTCTTGCATTTGCACTTAAAGAAATTAGATTGTGATATATTAAACCTCATGTCACATCTATCACGTAGTACAATGATCAATAATGTATTACCCAATATACCAAGTATTTAAGCAATTCTCAGAGGTTGCTTAAAGAGTCAGTTATATGATAGTGTAAAACCCCTCCATTACCAGTCTTACTAATGCAACAATTAGATCATGTTTCCTACTTGTAGATATGGGATGTCTCCAAAAACCACGCAGGTAGCATTAGGTTTTTAGTTTCTGTTCCAAAATGGTAATAATAATGAAGGCAGCTTTGGTCAGACAGTGTTTTAATCATCAGCAGTAACTTCTGAGTGCTGCTTCTGAAGCAAAGGGAGGAACATTAGTCTGAATGCACATATATATGCTCTTTTGGCTGAGAAAGAAAAGTAGATGCCATGGTACCACACCATTTTGTAACTTCAGCAGCTCACTGTGGTTGAATGAAATTGTCGTTTTCAAGGTACGACAGGATTATCAAATATTATCAAAATTATCAAAGAGTAGCTTTTCCCCCTTCATTTTTAAGACTTTTTCCCTTCAGATCTCCTTTTGTAATGACTTTCTTTCATGAAGCCTTTCATAATTAATCCATCTGAATAACAGATACCCTATATAAAGCTTCAGGTCAACAATGTCCACTGGTAAGTTTCAAATTTAGGCAAACTTGAGAATGCACAGGATTCAAATCCCACTGAAGTCAAAACCAAAGTTCACAGATATTGTGACAAAGCATCTCTTTACCAAAAAAAGTGTTTTTTTTTTCTCACCAAGATGAAATAAAGAGATTTTCAAGGTAAAATTACATAGCAGTATTGCATATATGGAGCTAGAATTTTGGGATCAGTTCTGACTTCCAGGTGTCTGGGAACTCTTTTCGGGAAGTTCACTCTTGGTGCTACATCAAGATTTAAATGCCACAGCATCACAAGAAGAGAAGAAATAAAGTTCAAAAGTATTCCAATTCACAAATTTTCAGAGGTATAACCTATGGTTTAGAAAAAAACTTCCATTCTGTAGCAATGCAGATAATATGCAGGCAATTTTCTCTTGAACCCCACTGGCTCCCACCCTTTATATCCAGTCAGCTCCCCAGAGTTTGCTCCTGGCTCTGCATGGCTTATGGGAACGCACAGAATAAGGATGCCCATTTTCAAATACTTTAAATGAAATACAATTTTTTCCAGTTTTATTTTGGCAAATAAACTTCATATGATTGTCAGCATCTCTGGACCAAAGTTGGAAGAGGCCCTAAGTGAGGTCATGTTGTTATAGCCTCAAACATCCAGGTCATATTCAACAAGGAAGACAGAGACAATCTTTAAACTCCTATTACTTTTGCTTGGGTTCATATCCATTTAGCCCTTTATGTAACACTTCTGGCCTTTTCAATCTAAGGGTATATTTTACATAAAGTAAAGTAAGCTACATATCAAGTTTACATAGAGTAAACTCTGTGTAAACATATCTGTAAGTGGCTTACCTCCAGCAGCATGAGTAACAAGACTCAGAAAAATGCATGTGCATAGTACCAATAAAAATACCTTTTCATGGTGATATAATCAGTCTAAATAATGAGTATAAGCTGTATAGGAAGTAAGGTACCTTTATACTAGTGTAATTCGAACTGAATCTATACAAGCAGTTTAATGGAAATTCTTACACAAGTATCAAAAAGAACATAAATCAGACAGAAAGCAGCTTACTGGAGGAGGTCTAAATTACTTTTGGGTTGACAGTGCCAATAATAGTATAAAATACATTAATTCAGGCCTTGTCTCTGCATGCAGATTCTGTGTCATATGGTCTTTTCTTGTATTTGGGCGTCATTATTACGTAGATACTTACATCAGCACTGCTCCCAGTGTGGGCACAATTATATCAGCACACAGATGTCTTATGCCAGCGCATGTTGTATTTCCATTTGCATACAAAAAAGAAGCTATGCCACTGATATGACTATGAAGCTATACCAGCAAGTGCAACCAGACCTCTGGATTTGATGACACAAGTCTAATTGAAAGAATAAAGTCTTTCTAAGCAGGCAATCTCATAAACTAATTCCTTAGAGTCACTTCTGATGGGATGTGTAAAGTATGAAAAATCACAACGGGGACATTAACTGTAAGGAGCCCTTCTGACTCTTGGCTGGTTAGTAATCCCTCCCTCAAAATTTTGAAAGCTATTCACAGGATTGCATTACACCACCTTCATTAGATATAAATAAATAGCTAAGCATATATGCAAGCACTTGCAGACCTAGCAATGTTTGGTTCTTTTTCATATGCTATGCGTTACTGACATTGCACCACCTGCCTGCCTAGGTTTTCCTTAGAAATCCAGTCACTTCATCAAACCACTGTTCCTCCATTTCCATCTCTTCCCAAGCATGACACATATCCACACATCTCAGCATCCCACTGATAACTTTCAAGGCATTGCATAATAGCTGTCTAGACAAAACAGAACAGGCTTTATTCATTATTTATGAAATACTTTAACTTTGGGTCAGATAAAATTAATTTCTTGAAGGGCTGTATTAGTTAAAGGCTGCTGCTAGGAAATACCACAGCAGCAAATAAATGATTCTGAGAATTGCTTGTTTAAAATTACCTAGCTCCTCCAACACCTCAGAGGCAGCTGCAATACAGCTGTCCTCAGATGGTGTGGGACCAACGATCCCCGCAAAGGAGAAGAGAAGAGAGACCACTTTGTGGTCAGAAAGCAGTGGACAGTGATATAGTAAAGCCACATTTCCTTTAGCCAGCTCCCTGATCACATCCGCTCTGCCTCCCCAACAGTCTGAGCAAGGCTGCGTGGGGAGCCCTACAGCCATCTACTGAATTCCAGCTGGGAAGTGGTAGATGAGGCCTATAAAGGATCTTGGAAACAAGGACAGGAAATATTTCCTGTCGTTAACTTCTTTGTATGAAGCTGTTATTGGATAGGGATGTCTATGGGCTGCCCTTAGAGAAGGGCATGCATTGGCTATGCTTTGAATAGGAAGCATGTCCTGAGTCTTCCAGTTTTCCTTGAAGGCTTTAGTCCTCAGTGATTGCATGAAGATGATTTTTTTTAAGCTAATGTTGATATTGTCAATTGACACTTAAGCAGACTACTGAAGACTCCATTATGTTTGTAACTCATAGTTTCATTTTTCATTTCTCTTGCTGCTGCACTTTTTGAACTATGTATTTCTATTCATAGCATCACATAGCATATACTATATATGTAATTGAAGCCTATTCAGTTGTGTCTCTGAGGCAAATATTCCAAAAAGTTTGCTATTGGTTCAAGTCACCATTCCCTAGCTACATGGTCCTTGCCAACAGCATGATCTTGAGTGATGTTATTAAAAATCATGCCTGCTTACACTTCCACAGATTGAAACTTTATGGAAAAATTTCTTTTGACTTAAGCCTCGTGTAGCTATGCTTGCCATGCACTTTTTGTTACCAGCATCAGTTGTTATACTTTTAGTTTCCCTGTGCAGCCTTAGAAAGCAGTCTCAGACTTCAATGAAGTAAAATATTTTATTTCCCTTGAAAATCTTCTTTTTTGGTGGTTGTTGTTACAACAGGCTTTGATGTAATGATGCAATCTAACAAAATCTGTGTAGGTCTCCTCAACTTGTCATATTCCAGCTAAAGCACTAAGAAAACAGGGACTCACATGATACTTAAAACCAGTTTCCAATGATTATTTCACTGTGGTGTGTGGCTTCTATTAAAAAAGTTAATCACTTACTCAGATCTGTATACTCATGTAATTGCCTCCACATAGTGGCAGAAGTTTCGAAGAATAAGTGTTTCTTGATACTTCTAAAGAAGAAATGCAGAGTCTGGCCCTTGATCTGCATTACAGATCTGCATTAGAGTAGTTTCAAAATAGAAGAATGCATTTGCTACACAGGCAGCAATAGAAGTTAAGACTTAAGCTTTGGCAAAGAAATGACTTAGGAAAACTGAGCTGTACATCATAAGACTAGTAGTTAATTAGATGGCTTATTAAAGGCCAGGTTTTCTTGGCATTCATAAGTACATCAAGAGCCACTGGCTGTTTGCCATGTATACGTGGCATTGTTCTGAATGAAGATAACTGTCATGGCACCCTGCTGGAGCAGCTTATTTATTTTACCTGAAACCCTTTGATTTGTGCAGTAGGCTTAAAACCAAGAATAAACTGGTTACTGAAACCTGATACCAGGCCAGAGCCCATGGACTTGATCCAAAATAGGATTTAAGCACCAACATGGACAGTTTGGTGGAATGTAAGAACAAAATTGACTCACATGCCCTCTGGTCTTTGAGTTACCTGCCTTTCACAGGGTGTTCATTTCGTGACCTTATGGGCCCCAAAGTGTCACAGTTTTACATCCTGAGTAGTTTAGCACCTAGCTTTTACTAAAGCTTGATTGGCGTTGAGATGATTAATGTTTCTCCATCTTTGCCCCTGGGGAAGCTAAGACTACAGATGTTCTTAGATAAGATGTATGAGAAGCCAACAGGATTAGGCCACACAGCTGCA